AAAAAAAAAAAAAAAAAAAAAAAAAAAAAAAAAAAATATATATATATACACAACACATACATGTTTGCACAAATTATGGTATTGATATAATAAGTTATGAAAATATTATACTTACTTTAAAACAATACTGTTTATTCTATAGATCTAGCTCCAGAATAGATAGATTATATTTGAGATTTCTTTCTTTTATTGTGCAGTACGATTATTAACAATTTATATTTTCTTTATATTTTTATATTAGTTTATTTTTCTACTGACTTATAATTTATTAACTATACATTTATCAAAAATCGCAAATGAATAAAATTAAAAAAAATTTTAAACAAAATAATATAAAGTATAAGAATAATTTTATTTTCAATGTTGCTTGCACATTTGAATATTCTACAGTTTAAATATCAAATTACAAAAAAATTTAAAAATATTAATTATAATAGATTACATTTTATTTCTTAAATACAATATATATTGTGAACTCAACATAAAAATTCATTTGACAAAAGATAAGTTTCATTAATTTCATTTTTTTAGTACAGATTCATATAAAAGATTCTATATTTTTATGCAAAGGAATGAGTCTACATAAAATAAAATAATATATAAATCTATACTATGTTACTCAAAATGTAATACTATGTGTTATAATATAATAAATCACTCTATGTTCAAATCATAATATGTTGTATATATTCTTATTCTTCAAATTTATTTATCTTTTCTTGAGCTATAAACTTTATATTACATATTTAGAAATATTTATACATTTATGTTTTTATTCTTTAAAATTGATATAACTTTTAAAATAAACAATTATTTATAAGATATTTATAAGATAATAAATAAAAAGCATACCAGCTTTATTGCTTTACTTCAATCTTGGAAAGTAGATTGAAAAGTAGTATCAGAAAACATAGGACACCAAAAACCTAAAATTGTTAAATGTTTGTAAAATGTTAACATTTATCAAATTTAAGTATATTTTATTTTGCAAATAATATAAAATAAAATATTAAATTACCTTCAGGTGTATTAATTCTTTCATTATATGTAGTTCTATGTCGAGAACACTTATTTTGTCTCATTTTTATTTCTTCCTCAGAAATTCCAAGATTAGTGTAATACTAAAGAAAAAGCAATTTTTGATTTTTAATAAAAAATATTTAAATGTTCTGTATCATATATATATAAATATTTTTATATTTAAATTTATATATTATTTTACATATAAATAATATTAACTTACAATTCAATTTTTAATATGCAGCAATAAGAAAAAATAAATTATATTTAACACTACTTCAATTAATTTTTTATATTGTTTTTTTTATATTAAATTCATTATATTAATATTTATATTATATTAAAATTCAAATTATATATCTTACCTTTTCACATTCCCAACAAGTAATACCAATCATTTTTTCTCTTTTTGATTTTTTCTTTGATAATTTATTCTCTTGTTTTTCTTTTTTATTAGGAACTCTTAAAAAAAATATATTAAGTTTAACATAAATATTTCAAAACTTTTTGAATTTACATAAATAATGCTTACATATCAAAACTATCCATAAGATATTTTTTTATACGTGGATATTCTGGTGAATTTTTATTTTCAAATTTATTTTTTTTTAATTCATTTTTATCATAAGATTTTTGTTTAATTTTTTCTCCTAAAAGACAATACGTTTCATCATATATTGAAGAATTGGTATCAAACATTTGATTGATTGATTCTGGATATTTTCTTTTTTCTGGAGTAATATTTTTTTCTATCTCTAATTTTCTAATTTTTTTTATTGGAGTTGATAAATTTTTATTTTCAGAATATCCAATATCTGAAATTGTTTGAAAAAAAGATGGATTTAAAATATTATCATCAATTTTTGATTGTGTAGATGTTTGTACAGATAATAAATTGAGACTAGACTGATTTATTTTCTTATTTGAGGTTTTATTTTTCAATCTTAAACATTTTATTTTTGAACTTAATTCTGTATGTTTTTTGGGACTATTTTGAATTACTTCTTCTTCTATAGATTTGTTATAATTTTCTAGTTTTTCTTTTAGTATGTCTTTTTTAGATATAGGTAATGCATGTATTTTTGAAATATTTGAACTTTCATGAGTTGCAGTATTAACAGATTGTGTATCTGGAAGAAACATAAGTTTTGATTGTTTCAATTTTTTACCATTTTGTAATAATGTGGTATCTACATTATATAATGTATTAATTCTTAATTTTTGTGATATTTTATTAGGTATACATTTTATCTCGTCATTATTATTTTCATTAATTAAAATTTTATTTTTCTGTGATTTTTCAAATATTGCATCTTCCCTAAAATTATTTCCTGAAATTGTTAATATAGAAATATTTTCTTTTATTGGTATATTTGGATATGTTTTATTTATATCAAAATTTTCTAGAATAAAATTATTATCTGTAATATTGGTCTTTTTAGATTTAGAACGTTTCTTTATAAGTATTGGACTCTGCAATGATTTCTCTTCTGATATTTGTTTCTCAATAAATTTATCATTTATAATACTATCATTTAAACTTGCATCAATATCAGAATTAGAATTGGTACAAACATTGTTGTATAAAGATGTAAATATTTTTTTATTTTCTGATACTTTGTTTGTACTAAGTGCAGTACTAAAATATAAAAAATTAAAATATAAATATATATTTCATTAGCAAATATAAAAAATAACATTTATAATATAATTTTTTAGGATTATAAATCAACAATAAAACCAAAACTTACACAGGTTTATTATCATAAATATTTGATTCAAGCAATTGAAATGGAATTTTAAAATCAGCATCTTCACAATGCTTTCGTAGTTTTAAATATTCACTCCATAATTCTGTAAATATAAGATGTCTAATGTTTAAATCAAGTAATTTAACTATAAATTTTATTTATCAAATTTATATTAAAAAAACAATAATACAACATTTAAAACAATAAATAATAAAGTTTTGAAATATATTTTTATTTCATAAAAATTTTATTTTTAAAAAAATTTAATTTTTTTAATTTAGCCGCAAAAAATAATTAATATATATTATTAATTATAATAACGTAAAAAATTCAATATTAAATAATTTTTATTTTGTAAATATAATTTTTTATAATTATAAAAAGAAATATAAATAAAAAAATTCAATTATCGATATAAAAACAACATATGATATATACTTACTTTTATATTGTTCGAATGCTTTTCCTAGCATTCCAGCAAAATTCTTCGTAGCATTTCGCGCAATCTCATTGTCTACGAAACAATCAAATTGTAAAACATCTGATAAAGCCATCAGTAAAATAAACGAGGTTAGGTAATCGTTTTTTAGAACAACTCAATACCCTGCCCCTTTTCTCACTTTTTGTTAATTAATTCGTTGTTTTTTTTTTTTTTATTACGTATATTATTATCACACCGAGTATAGAATCGAATAAATTCAACAAAACAAATAATTTATTATTCATTCCCACAATGTCATACTGCTGATCACTTCACTGAATAATCTACAGCGTGTCGATAGTTTCTTTTTAAATCGCAGCACAAATCGCCATGATATGGTCACATATTGTATACAGCTTGCCGGTATAGAAGCACACTTCCTAACCTCATTTTCGCAGTGTTTTTCTTGGAATCACTTCAATCTGAAACGTTCGTGAAACTTGTGTTAATTTTTTTTTTATGCTGTATTTATTACGTTCAAAAATAATTTGAGCTTCGAAAGCTATAATTTTATTCTTTTGTAGAAAAAAACATTTTACATAATTTCGTAAGTATATCTAACCAAATAAAAATGATTTATTCATAATATCGTTAATTTGTAAATATATATTTATATCAAAATATATTAAAAATTAGTTTCTGCTCTTTCTAGTTTACCTGTCCTAAAAAAAACCTACTATCATGTACTTTTATCTCTTTATTATATCTCGACATTATGTACATTACACATCCCGTAAATATTTCTATATTAAATAAGGATTTAACATCGTATATAAAAAAAGGTTGCTTATGCAGCAAATAAACATTTCGAACGTATCCAATTTTAATTTTTTAAAATACCTTCATTCTTCTCTTTTTTTTTCTTTGTTTTTGTTTTTTTTTTTTCCTTAACGAATTCATTCCATATAACAAAATATCACCTAACATAAATTATTATGTAATAAACGCTATATATTTTAAAAACAAATTATTTTTTTGTTTCAAAAAGATAAAAGTATCTTTATACATAAATCAAATATCTTGTTTGAATTTTTCATGTATGCACATAAATTAACTGTTTTTTATATAAAAAGAAATTTATGTATGAAGAAATGATAAAATGATAAATATTAATTTAATATAAACTTTAAAGCTCTTATTTCATATGTCGCATAAATGTGCACTATAAAGAGCATATTGTTATTATTAAAGATACAAGTACTATATTAAGTAACTGGTCACGTATTAATAATACATCCATTATATACAAGTATACACCGAATGTGCACTTACAGTTATGAACAGAGAGTAGTCTATAAACAACTTGGATGCAGTTGTACTTCCATGCCTAGTTAATTTAAAAAATAGCAATTTAGACCTTTTCCAACTTTATACAGAACATAGTTTAGAACGCTGTAAAGAGTTATATATACAAATCATTATGAGCTAAATGCTGATTGAGAGGAAGTTGAGGGTAGGGAAAGGTTTTGTGTTAGGTTGGATATTGGTTTACCTGGGGGTCGGGTGATAACAGGGGAAGGATTGCAAGTTTCCAAACCATAGCGCGACATGAGCGCTAATAATGCACTGCGAACACCAGCTGTTGCCACTTGTGACCATCTTCCAGAACTCATTGCATCATCACCAGCATAAACTGCATGTGCATCAAAGTTTCCTGATTGTGCTGCATTTGTATCTAAAAAATAAAATAAAAAAATAATATATTACAAATATTAAAAAAAAGACGCGTATCTAATAAACTCACCTAAAAGTGGTGGATTTAATACAGAAAGTTGAGATTCTATTAGTCCACTTGATCTTGAATTTGCAGCAAGTCGTAGTTCAGCATGTAGTTCTCCTAATAATTGTACTACTTTTGGATCACTCTGTAATTTGAATTGTAATAATTATAATTAATAATTATAGGAATATAATAATTTTGTATTCTATATAATATTATGCATAACTACATAAAACTAAAAATGAAATATTTCAAAAAATATTTCATCATTAATTCAAATATACTTACCTCATTATCTGATCGAAGCGACATAAGATCTTCAACACGAATTGGTTTTCCTTGATTTAATGCGTTTGTGAGTAAACTTAATTTTCGAACAAGACTATCTTCCGTGTATAATTCTGACATATGAGAACTAGTATCTCCCTTGGGCCGTGGTGTAACAGGTGGTGGACTAACATAAAAATATGATGGTGATGAGACCATATAAGGTCTAGTATCTCCCTTGGGTCGTGGTGTAACAGGTGGAGGACTAGTGTAATAATATGATGGTGATGAGACCATATAAGGTCTGCTTTGGTTGAACAAATTATCTCCTCCATAGTGGGATTCCGTACTGAGACGATTTGGATGAGAATTGTAACCTGCTTCCATTTTTAAACGTTTGGAAGATCTGAAATCAAGTCAAAAACATATTATAATAATTATAAAAATAAAAATCAAATGTTTTAATAAATATATCTATTTATCAAAATGTTATATTAAAATAAATTTGTTGAATATAACATATATATTTTTTATATTAAAAATAAATAAACAAATTAACGAATATATAATTAATAACAAATTTTTATAAAATCATAAAATATCTTTTATAATAATTTATATTATATAAAAATGGAATAAATGTTTCTTAAAATTGAGAATATATTAATGATATTAATATATTTAAAACAAAATAATATTAATAAAACAATAAATAAAAACTCATATAAATATTATTAAAATAGACAATGATACATGAATATCTTATATTTATAACACTTGTTTCATAATTAATAGAAATCATGCAAAAGACGTTTCATTACGTGCATATTGAATAAAAGCAAAACTAATGAATCAATATTTCATATAGATATACATGCAATTTAATAAGCACAGCATATCAACTTTATTTATATTTTGTAAATTTTATTTTTCACAATTTATTATATATTTATTACTTATATTCGTATGTGAAGAAAAATAACAAAATAATTTTATAAAAGATCATAAATATAAGGAATTTGATTATTTAATTCTCACTGCATCCTCAACCTTCTTGCACGAGAATATTAAGCTTTTTTATTTTAGTTATAAAGCCCAAGCGCATATGTTATATGATACATAAAACCATGTCTTATATGAATTAATAAACTGGACACCCTGGGTATAAACATACATTATACAAATTTGGAGAATATTTATTACCTATTTATATTCTTATAAGTGCTATAAAATTTGCCCTTTATCATTCAGCCACAATAACATTACTTCCTGAAACATAATTGTTTTTCTTGTTAGATATTTTGCCAATTTGTATTTATTTATAATTATTTATTATATTTATATTGTTTAAATATTATGTTGTTTCTTACAAATTCCACAATATAATTTATCATCAATAATATAATATACTAAATATACTAAATTATATATAATATCTATATCATGTACAGCATTATTATGATTTAATAGAAATATATGTAATCAAATGCATATATTATGTATATATTTACATTGTATAATAAAGTAATTGGTTATGTATCAAAATATTTATATATTTATTTATATATTCTACATTCTATTTACATATTTTTATATATATTATTCTTGTACTTTGTTATAAATTATATAGTAATTATATATATAACAAAGAAAAAAAGAAAATATTAATATTTAAGAAATTGATAACATAAATTTGATGATATAATTAATAAATTTTATGTAACATTTAAATATCATTAATAATAAAAAATTCTGTTATAATGTCAGAATATATTAGCTATTAATCTAATAAAAATGGTGATTACAAACATATCTATAACAAAAAATTAAATTATTATACAATAATTTTATATCTTTGATTATTATGATTGGTATATTACTTACTACAGAACTTTTTATATTATTTTGTATTTTTATTTAGAAAGCATCACTTTTTTAATTGTTACAATTGTTTTAAATAAAATAGCTAAAAGTAAAAAAATATATTTAATTTATAATTATTTATACAAGAAAATTATTTTACATATTAATTATTTAATATTTATTTAAATTTATTAAATTTATAAACATTTATTTTATTCTATTATTTTAAAAGTACTTTGTATGTTATTAATTATTAATTGATGAAAATTATATAAAATTTATAATGAAATATTTTTTATTTAAAAATGAATTGCATGAATCTTTGGATTTTTCTATTATCATATAATGCTGTTCAACATTTATGGAGAAGTGAAATTCTTTATTTTATTTTATCTTTATATGAATAATTAAGATATAATTAAAATAAAGACATTAAACTAACAAATGTATTAAATATCTATGCGAACTTATTGTGGAATAAGTAGAAAAATAACATGTACTATGCATATCATTGAAAGAGTACATAATAATGTATACTGATATTATCATTCATTCCCAAGGTCCCAGTGTTTACTGTCAGATATAACTTTTATAAAGGATTATGGTTACTTAATTTATAAATAAAGATATAGAAACATTGAAAGGGACTAAACAAATTAAATGATAAAATATTTTAATAACATTAGAAATTCATTGTCCATGAAAATGTTAGGCAAATGCCTATGGACATAGAGTAAATATTTTATATTACAGTAAATCAATAATATTTTACATTATGACGATAATACATCAGATTTTTCTAAACTCTGAATTTCATTATAAGAATGGCATTAATACAAAATACATGCAAAAACATGAAAATAGTTAACAAATATTAAAACTTGCCATTCGTATATTGAAACTTATGATAACTATCTACAATACAGAATAATTCTAACACAATTAAGAAAATATGATCAATTAAAATATGCCTAATCTATAGATGTGAATGTTCAAATAAATTGAATTAACATAAATAAAATGAAATGTCGATGACGAAGGCTGTGATGTTAATATTTCACGTAATACATTCACATTTTAATCTTGGCTCCTTGTATTCCATTGTCTTCAATCTTCCATCTTCTTCTTAGTATCCATTTACATTCCATTAGACCTATTTACACTCCAAGACTTTATAAATATTATAAAGATCATTTATTTGCGCTCATATCCTGTGCTCATTCATTTTATATATCGTTCCATGCGTTTATAGATGTTTTAATTCAATAGTTTAATATGAAAATTAACATACGAAATTTCATTAAATCCCGATTTTTTTATTTACAATCATATACCTATTATATTTTTCTTTTTTTTTTAAACATTATTTGAAAATGAATGTTTTATATCACTGATACAATTATATTAATAAGATATTAATAATTATATGCATATACATTGAATTATGTAAATGCATATGTTTAACTGCAATAGAAAATTGTACATATATGCATTTTCCTTTTCACAAACATATCATAATGTATGCATATGTATGTTCACATTGATCAATAAATATGTACATATATGTAATATGTATCTACTTATTAGTCAGTAATATTATCAGATATAGAAAATATCTCAATTTTAAAGCTCACATAGTTTTCAAGAACATTCAATTAAATTGAATCACAAACACATTACAAGTCAGAATATTTTCTTTTTACATAAATGCTAATATTCTTTAAATCAAGTAATATTTGATATCACTTCAAAAGAATTAAGATAATGTAATATTATGATAATATTTTTTCTACTTATTGAAACATATTATTATAATCATTATTATAATCATATCGCTATAAATTTTGTATTTCTTCCAAATACATACATTCAAAATGTTTTCATGTATTTGAAAAATGAAGTATTAAAAAGTAATCTCTGTAGTAAACCCATGAAAAGAACGTTGTTGTACATTTTCGTGTGTCTATATTCCATTGTTCTGCACTATAGCCATCGTCGTTTGAACGACTGTGAACTAAAATTAACTTATTTTATCCATTATTGAAAGTCACATGCAAACGGACGATGAAAATAAGATACTACAACAATTATGTTTTCATTCTTTAAATAAGATTTCTAACAACGCATTTTGCTAAGAAAATAAATGCCAAGCACAACTGCAGTACACAGCCATCTACGTGTGTAAGCAATTAGTATCTGGTCAGTATTGAATCGCGTCCCAGTTTGTGCGAATATGTCTCTCTACGACTACTCACCCCCCGACATCAGATAGATCTTCAATAGCCTTATGGGGACCTCCTTTATTTGGAAGCGGAAGAAGAGGCATCTTTCCAGCGGAGCTTTCTTGTTGATCTCGTAACTGATGTCTTCGTTTCTTACTCCAAAGCTCATGACAGTCTTGCCAAGTTGGAAGTTGAGGCGCAGGCATTCTAATTTTTTAAAAAATATATATTTTAATAACAGAAAATAGCTAAAATTTTTTAGAAAAATAGTAAAAAATAGTAATAATAATTCCTGTAATTTTAATATCTTTTTCAATTATATTTCTATATAAATATTATTATTGAAAATTATTTTAGTTTTATTTTTTTTCGCATCTCTATATTACATGTAATAAGATAAATAATTCTTTTTGTAAGTATATTTAAATACAATAAAACATACTGCTCGGGTTGAACATTTTTCAGCCAAGCACTTTTAAGCGCATCAGCAGCAGTTATTCGTTTTTCTGGATCTAATTCCAACATTTTATCTAAAAGATCCAGAGCTGGTGCTGGCATAAATGAAAAATCTTCTCGTAAACGTCTTCTATGTGATTTTTTTGGTTTCAAGGTACGCCACAATGGCAGTTTTATCACAGAAGGCCAAACAGCAGGAGTTGGAGTTCCACAAACTCTGGAAATCATCTCCAATTGCATCATTTCTACATTTGCCTAATAAAAATAACAATAATTTATTATTTTTTTCTTTTTTTTTTTGACGAAAATAAAATTTGTTATAATTTTCTTACATGAAATAATGGTTTTTTAGAAAATAATTCTCCTAGAATACAACCACAACTCCATACATCTATTGCAGGACCATAACGTTCTTCACCCAACAATAATTCAGGTGGTCTATACCATAAAGTAATCACTTTATTTGTATAAGGTCGCTGTCTATCTTCAGCATTATAAAGCCTCGCAAGTCCAAAGTCGGCTAATTTAACTTCCCCTCTATGAAAATTATAATCAAATTATAGAAATACCATTTTTTCTTCATTAATTATATATTTTACATACTTGTTATTCATCAGTATATTAGAACATTTGATGTCTCTGTGTAAAAAGTTTTTACTGTGGCAGTAATTTAATCCATCTAATAACTGTTTCATAATGCTTGCATTGTTCATTTCATTAAAATCGACCATTCCAGATTCTAAAAGACCCATTAAATCATGATCCATGTATTCAAATACAAGATAGAATGAGCCTTTGTCCTATAAAATCGTAACATATAATATCACTTTTTATATTATATATTTTAATATTACCTTTCTAAAATCCAATACATCTTGTTTATCCGTAACTATTTCTCTCAAGTTCACAATATTTTTATGATTAAGTTGACGTAAGATTTTAATTTCTCGTACTGCTGTAACAGGGAATCCCTCTTTTTCGTTTTCTAGACGAACTTTCTTCAATGCAACAAGTACACCAGCTCGTTTGTCTCGAGCTTTATAAACTTGTCCATAAGTACCCTCTCCTATTTGAGTTATGAATTCAAATACATCAACAGAACGTTCTCCCCAATCTTTACCGCTCGAAGTTGACATAGGAGTATGACAATTTCTAGAACCTCTACGCTTTAAAATTTTTGGTCTTTTTAATTTCGGTTTTGGTGGAACATGTTCAACTTTTGTACGAGGTGGTGTTGCATTTGGATCATCTTCTCCACTTAAATCTTCCGATCCAGGAACAACTATATTAAATTATAATAGAAGAAATATTATTTAATGATAAAATATTAACTAATGGCAATAAAATTATATTATTATATCACAAATTTACCTGGTGGCATAGGTAAGTCTTTAATACTCTTCTTCTGTGGTGGTTTTGGAGTTGAAGCTGGGAATTTCATTTGTGCCTTACTAGGAGGACTTGGAGATCGACTTGGTGGCGAGTCTATACTTTCTAAATCATTTTGATTAATTCCAGGTGGTAATGGTAATCGTGATAAACTTTTAGTTTTAAATGCCACAATAGGAGGTTTAGGAGGATCTACTGATTTAAGAGGAACTAAATTGTTAGGAGGATTAAATTTAGACATGGCTGTATTTGGTGCTGGAACTGGTATAGGTATAGGTGGTGGTGGAACAGATAAATTAGGCAGAACAGGTACTGGTACAGGAATAGGCACTGGCATAGATACTAAACCTGCTGCATTTGCAGACTCAGATTGTGGTAATGGTGGTGCTTGCAAATTTGTAACAGCTGGAAAACTTGGACTGCTTGTAACAGTCACTGGACAAACATTTGTAGTTGTAGGCGAAGTATATACAATCATTGGAGGATGTTGATTAGCTCCATGTATTACACTTGGTGCATTAACGGTTTGTGTAATTGGTAATGGTGGAGTTTTTCCTGCTATTCCATTATCATCCGACATTGGAACAGGAATATCTACAAGATCAACAGGTTTCATATTTTCACTTGTTGTCTTTAATTGTTCTTTATGATTTATATATTTGTCTTTATTGTCAGTGGAAGGTTTATTTTCGGAAGATGCATTACTAGCATCTTTCTCGTCAGTGCCTTCTATAATTTGAACTTCATCTTGAGTAACAGCTTTTTCCTTAGCTGCTTGTAATTTTTTATATGCTAATTCTCTCATATTTCTATCTTTTACAAGTTCAGCAAACAAACTAGTTTCACTAATCTTTGCTTGTACTCTAAGATTTCTTGCTGTAATACTTGAAGGACTTCTTGCTCTGGATCTATGAGGAGAAGGAGAAGGTATTCTCGAAGGACGTGGACTCTTTGATTTGTGTTTTCTTGCTGATTTATGTGATTTGCTAGGAGAACGAGATTTTTTCGGAGTACGACTTCTTCTTCGTGAACGTGATCTAGATCGTGATTGTACTTTTCGCCATCGTCCGGGACTTCGCGAACGTGAACGAGAAAGAGGTAAATGCAATCTAAAAAAAAAAATTAATTTTATTTTTGAAAAAAAAATATAATTTTAAATTATAATTTTATATTTTATAAATTATAAATTTTATAAATTTTATATTTTATAAATTATAAATTTTATAAATTTTATATTTTATAAATTATATCATATAATATAATATAATCGTATAATACCTGCTTCCAGTAGGACTTCTAGTTGATCTCGATTTTCTTTTATCTCTTCTATCTTTTTCATGATGTCTATGTCGTCGTTCAGATTCTTCTCGTCGTCTACGTTTACTCGAAGACGGAGAACTAACAGGATCTCTACGACGATGACTTACAGGACTCGGACTAAATTCTCTCCGTCTTGTAGAAGGACTAGGACTGTGCCTGAGTCTATGCACCATTGGACTTGGACTGAAATCTCTTCTTCTCGTTAAACTATGGTCCCTTCGACGTGATGGTGGGCTTGGACTATGAGGTCTCCTACGACTTGAGCTAATAGTGGGCCCTGGACTAATACTACTACGTCGTGTATGAATACTAGGACTATGTTTCTGTCTTTCAGGAGTATGTTTCATTGTGGACAAACTTGCTTTATTGTTTTCTGGTGTTGTTGTTCTTGGAGGTAATAAAGGAGTATGGGGAGATTCAGTTGGTCTTGGAGGAAGTGGTGGAGGAGTTACATTTCGAGGTTGTCTTGTTATTTCAAGTTCTACATCACTTAAACACCTTTGTTCTTGAGGTGTGGCAGGGGATATTGGTGAAGTACTGTCTTTTAATGGTAAAGGTGGTGATTCTGACCAATTTCCAACTGGTTTTTCATGTTCTGGACTTATAATAATTTCATCTGTAATACGATGTGGACTTAAACTACGAGAATGTCTTTTAGACTTTCGTTTTTTCTTTTTTCCAGAACTAGATGAAGGACTGATGCTTCTCTTTTTTTTCTTTTCTCGTTTATGCTTTTTTTCTTTTCTTCTTGCATATCGTCTAGACTCTTCTTCATATTCAGGTGTTCCACCATGCATTGTTGAAGGTTGTTGCTCATTTGGTGAATAATGTCTGTTAGAATGCCTATGTTGAACTGGTGGAGATGGTGAAAGACTAATAGGAGATGCTCCAAGAGCACGTACTGGGCTTCCTCCATAATAACGTCTTTGTAAAACTGGTTCAGGTACTTCTCCATCTGTATAGCTATTACCTCTACTATCTTCTGACTGAATTTCACCAGCTTCTGGTTCAGATAAATCTTCACTACTCACATCTGAATATTCAACCAAAGGTTTAACAATAGAAGAAGCAACAGTTGGCACATTTTCTATGGATTTATCTCTTGATCTCTTCTTCTTCTTTTTTCCAGAACTTTTGTTTTTTCCATGCCTTCTATGTTTTTTATCAGATGCTTCAAAACCATGTCGATTTATATCACTGCTAGTACTTCCTCTTCTACGTGATCGAAATCTTCCATTACGTTCAGCTCTTTCAATATCACGGCCGCTAGGCATGTCACCTACTAAAAATGTAAAATTATTGATATGTAAATAGATAATATTTTTACTGATCATTTTTACTGATTTGACTATTTAAATAATTCTTTTTATAAAAATAAATATATAAATTCAAATATAATAAAATGTATAAGAATGTTTTAAATTTGAAATTTTTATATATTAGACTTCATATAAAAATTATAAAAATATTGAGATAAAACAAAAAATAATTATATTTTTTATATTTAATTTTGTCAAATGAAAAATTTAATTTTATATAAATAATTTTATATAAATATATTTTATATTATATATTTTATATAAATTTATATAAATGAAAAAAATACTTCAAACATTTATTTTAATATTAATTTATAATATAGAAATTTGAAAATTATTATATTATTTCTATTCTCAATACTTTCAACTGAATATGGATATTATACACGTACATATGATAATATGAGTGTATGAGAAAGCACACGACATGCACATGCATAGATTAGTCGACGTAACAGTATTTTCGAATATCAAAATTCTACAATGTATTTAATAAAAAATAGTAAATTTTAATAAATTATCCTATTTTTAAAATAAAAATAAAAATCTACCAAATATAAACTTATGACTCGTTCGTTCGAAGAATATTTTGCCAAATAGAATTTTTTGGCCGAGTTAGCATAGCCGCCATTGTTAACGACTGGGTGGCAAGGGAGTTGCCCACTTTTCATAAAAGAAAATTAGTTATCATTTTTTACAGAATTATAAGTCAATGAATAATATCAATACTCACGTGCAATATAAATCTTGTGATATCACGCTAAATGTTGAGTTTCTTCGCATCGAGCTGATCCAACGTAGCGATGGATGTAATGGTTACGTTCGTTGCTCAGTAAACAGTTTTAACACATATTTCGTAGGCCACGAGTAAAATTTGATAAAGATTAATAGCTATCGTAACAATTAAATGTTCAGGCAATCATATTTTTATAGTTTTACTAGCCGATGCATCATATCTCATGAATTTTCTTTGGATTGTATTTGGCTTTCTCATAAAGGTAGCTCAAGTAAGTAGAAGCCATTAACCATTAGCACGTCATTATTGTCTGACGTAACAAGCGATAAGTGCTGCACCCTTGCGACTAAATATGAAGTAGATAAAAATGCGGATAATCTTCAATATTATTATACTTGATACAATTGGTTGAACTAAATTATTTATTATACTTATATATAAATATAAATGTATTCGTTATTAAATTTTTACATGAAAATAGCAAATATAAATAAAATATATATTTCTATATATTTTAAAGATTTTAAATACTTTCAAATTATAAAATTTTAAATTCAAATATTTTGCTATATATTTTATATATATATATATACATGAAATTAATATTACATTTTTATTACTGTTTATCTATTGTTATATAAATAATATAACATTTACGAGCATTATAATCATAAAATATAAAATATTTATTTTTTATATATTTTAAATACATATTAATAAAATAAAGTATTTTTTAGATATAATTTTATTTTAGTAATTTTATAATTATATTAATTTATATTAAAATTTATTAAATACATGAAAGATCAGCATTATGTACATAATCGACAAAGACGCTCTCTATTGTAAAAGATATATGACATATATATATATGTTTGAAATAAATTTTTGTCTTATGGTTGATAGTAATTTACTATTACAAAAAGGTATCAAGCATCAAAGGATAAGTTTAAATAAAAATAAATTTATATTTTTATTGAAATTTAACTTTTATCGTTAAAAAATTAGGATATGGGTGAACGATATAATATTCATAGTCAGTTAGAACATTTGCAATCGAAATATATTGGCACAGGCCATGCAGACACAACTAAATTTGAATGGCTTGTAAATCAACATCGTGATTCTTGCAGTTCTTATATGGGTCATTATGATCTGCTAAATTTTTTCGCTATCGCAGAAAATGAAGCAAAAGCTCGTGTCCGGTTTAATCTCATGGAAAAAATGTTACAACCTTGCGGTCCACCACCAGAAAAACCAGAAGATTAAATATTTCAATGAACAACGTGCTTATTCGTACATATTGTAGAAATAATGCATTATTGAAAATTTTTAATTATTTTCATATAAATTGACAATTTTTTTTTATTTCTACATTATATAAATAAAGATTTATTTGATAAAATTATACATTGAAGTTATTATTTTTATGTCTGCAGGAAAATAAATTATTTAATAAAATTAGTATAATATTATAAAATTTATAAGAATAAACCATAACACGATATATGAACTTTTATTTCAAAATCAACTTTTATTTATAAAAGAAAAATAACATTTATTAAAAAATATGTAAATTATAAATTAAATTATCATACAAATTTTGTTATATGATTTGTGATATAAAAGAAGTGCAAAATTCTACAAAATGCCTATTCCATGTTCAAGAAAGTGTGGAAAAGATGCTATTCTTAAAGTAAGTTATAAATTTTAAGATCTTAAGATTAACTAAAATTTTAAAATATTATATATTTCAAAAAAATATAAAAGAAAAATAATATATAATATAATATATCTTTAATATATATATTATATATTCCATAATAAATAATATATATTTTAAAATAATATCTTTAATTATAGAGACCTAAAACTGGTCATGCCTTGTGTAAAGAATGTTTTTTCTTTGCATTTGAAAGTGAGATTCACAATACAATCATAAAGGGCAAATTATTCAAATCTGGTGACAAAGTTGCTATTGGAGCATCAGGGGGAAAAGATTCTACAGTACTTGCATATGTTTTGAAAACTTTAAATAATAAATATCAATATGGAATTGATCTTTTTCTTTTATCTATTGACGAAGGAATAACTGGTATTGTGTAATATATTATATTATAATATATTATAACATATTAATAATATAATATTAATAACATATATTATAATTTAAATTATATATTAATTATATAATATTTTAGAATCTTTTTTTTATGAAATCTATTCTATCTATATTCTAGGATATAGGGATGATAGTTTAAAAACTGTTCAACAGAATAAAAATGACTATGGACTTCCATTAAAAATATTATCCTATAAAGAATTATATGGATGGACAATGGATGAAATTGTAGCAGAAGTATATATAATAATTTTATATTTATTATTAAATTTATTTATAGATCTTTAATATTTATTTCATTTTAGATTGGTAAAAAAAATAATTGTACATTTTGTGGTGTATTTCGAAGACAAGCATTAGATCGAGGTGCAGCCCTCTTAGGAGTAGATTGTATTGCAACAGGTCATAATGCTGATGATATTGCAGAAACAGTTTTAATGAATATCTTAAGAGGTGATATAGCAAGATTACAAAGATGTACTTCAATTATTACTGTAAGTTTAGTCTTTTTCAATATATTGTTTTCGTAAAAAAAAAATTATATTTTATATATATATTATTTTAATATTTTAATATTATAATTATATAATAATAATAATTAATATAATAATTAATATTTTATAATATAGGCAGGGGCAGATTGTATAAGACGATGTAAACCTCTTAAATATGCATATGAAAAAGAGATTGTTATGTATGCTTATTTTAAACGATTAGTATACTTTTCAACAGAATGTATATTTGCACCAAATGCATACAGAGGACATGCAAGAACATTTCTCAAAGATTTAGAGAAAGTTAGACCTTCTTCTATATTCGATATTATTCATTCTGGTAAAAAAGATAATAATTCTTATATGTTCTTATAACTTATACATTATTTCATAATTATATAATATATGATCAATATATATTCTTTTATAGGAGAAACATTGCAAATAAAAGAAAGTATCAAATTGCCGGAACGAAGAAATTGTTCTCGTTGCGGATTTGTATCTAGCCAAGAAATTTGTAAAGCTTGTATAATGTTAGAAGGTTTAAATAGAGGACTTCCAAAACTTGGAATTGGAAAATCTACCAAAGTTAAAAAAGTAATAGATTCTGTTGCAAATAAATCTGAAAATAATGACAAAATTAAACTAAAAAATTTAGAATTTTGATTTCTTATGTATTCAAATATATTTGTATGTATAAAAATCATAGATTTATTATTTGTAGATAATTTCAATTAAAATCGTATTGCTTTCAATCATTTTTAATGATTATTTTATTGTTCAAAAGAACATTTCAGTTTTTCATTAATGTTTTTAGTCATTTCATATTTATTTATTTATTTTTACAATCTCAGAAACAATAATTTTTATAAAGTAATAAGAAGTAATTAAAAAAAAAAAATTATCTTTATGATGTTAGATAATATATGCTGCAGCTTTTTGTGAAATTGGTGCTCTGCAAACTGGACAATCACTAGTAATATCTTCAGAACAGTCTTCGCATAAACAGACATGTCCACAAGGAAGAAGAATAATCTCACGAGGATTTGTGCGACAAACAACGCACAATTGATCTTCCCTGAGATCAGTATCTCTTACTCTTTGTCGTCTTTCTTTGCGGGATTCAGCTAGAGATTGTCTTAGTTCTTCTGCTAATCTTTGTTCTGTTCTATCTTTCCAATAACGTCGAAGAACTATTCCACCAATCAACATTCCAATCGCACCAAACATTAAACATAGTAATCTAAATCATAAAAAATCAAAAATCATATTGTTTCAGAATTATATATATATATAAATTATACAAAATAACTAACCTGTATGTTCGTCTACGTTCATCCAATTTTCGAAGTAAGGAACTAATTGACATGCTTGTTAAGTAAAATGGTGTACCATCCAATGGGGGTTGTAATGTAAGAGTTTTAGAATTTGTTCTTGCTAACTCACCTATACCTGTAATAACTGCACCTTCACGAAGTAATTCTTCTGTGGATTGTAAACCACGTTGACGCACACCTAAAATTAATGATAGATTATAATTTTTATAAACACCATATCAAAATAAAACTTAAAATAGTTATTTCTTACCTGTAAAGAAGCCCCATAAATGATCTGCAAAAGATGGTATAATTGGTTCAAAAGTATTAGATACAACATCCAGATCCAAAATATCTGCTGATAATGGTTCTAATATTTCTATAGAACAACCTCCATGTTGCAAAGAAAATGGAACAGTATTATATACTTTATGAACAGTACGTTCTTGATCTGACCTATATACAAATAGAAATTTATTAATATATATATATTTATAATATATAATTATATATATTTTAGAAAATAAAGAAAGATTACCAAAAGCCAGCAGTAGTTCTAGCTACAACATGTTCTTTGATTTTAAGTTTTTGTACAACACCAGTTAATTTTTTATTATTGATGCTATTCAATGGCTTTCCTAAGGGTTTTACAATACCCCTAATAGCTATGTAATCTATCTTATTATTAGAACTTTTATCAACCAGCTCTCCCAATTGTGGGCCAATTTCGTGAAATTCTGCACCCTGTGAAGAAACTAAACATTTTGAGGTATTTTTAAACATTATATGTGTTTCTATATTTAATATTAAAATAATATTTAAATAACTATTACTTTAATATGTATTATATTTTGCGTATAAAAAAAGGTTAGGTACAAGATTATTATTGAAAATTATATAAATAAATTTTATAATAATATATAATTTTACCTTGACTGCTGTAATTGCATTTTTGCAATGAAAGTATTGTTTCAAACAAACACCAAAAATTATACTGTCAATTCCAAGCGCTATTACTTCACCTAAATAATCCATGACTAGGTTATGTTTTTAAAGCTCCAAGTTAAAATATTCTCCATTTTTACTATTTTTATCTATTTCATATTTAGCCCGTATGATTTCATTTTAACAAAATATTTGAAAATTTAAAATATATAATTTTTATTGAATATTTAAAAATAAAGATGTACATATAACAATTGCTTGATATAAGAGGCAGTTGCATAAATTATGTTGTCAAGACTGTTGACCACGTGATATAATTGCAATTAAATTTTTACCGCTATGTTGGTGAACGTGTATACGTCTTTAAACTGTTTTTTGATATTCGTTTACTAAAATTTTATTTTTTCAATTTTTTTTTTATATAAATAATTTGTGATACTTTAAAAATTGAAACAAATTATCAAAAAGGATGCAATCAAATCAGGTATAATTTTCTCATTTAACAAAATGAATTTTCAAATATTATTTTTCTTGATCACATATAGATTTCTTCCTTTCATTCAATTTAAATTTCATTATTACTTTTACACTTTATATATTCCATTTTATAAATTTATAAAGTTGCATAAAAAAGAATAAATATTGCAAATTATGAGATTTAAAAATAGATAACCTCCGAAGAAGTTATCATTGCCGCTTACATACCGAACGAGATTGAAATCGAAGAGAAAAATTGAAACACGTATAGTATAAATTCGAGAAAAGAAATTTTATTGGTAACATAGAAATGTTTGAATACGTATAAATAGTATGTATAAAAGTATAAAAAATAAATAGCGATGGCATTGCGATTTTGCAGGCCTGAATGAGAGCGAATACATTATAATGTGTTCCAATCGTTATTCGGAACGCGATTACGAGTTTAATGATAACATTAGTAATGACAATGATAATAATAATAATTGACATTGTACTTAATCTTACTTTATGATAAATTTCTCAAACATTCTTCCACACATTCTTACACAAATTCTTTGTCGTTTTTTTATTTGAATAATAATCGACCGTTTAAAATTAAATAACAATGATCAATGCGACAACATTATCAATATACATGATAAATAAAACTAGATTTCATAATATATTTTTTTATATCACATAATATCTTATTTTTTCTTTTCGAGTATTTTTCATATTTTATGTTTAAATTTATAATATTTAATATATTATTTAATACCCTTTCTATCTATAAATCAAATATTTTGAATATTATTTTTGTTTTTTTATAACATTAAAAATACATATCGAAACAAAAAAAATAAAAACTTTTTCCCCTAAAAAAAATATATTTTTTCACTAATAATATAAATTCATACCGAATCGCATTCATTTAAAAAGAAAAATGTATTAGTCATTTATTTTTCACTCATAAAATAGATGATGAATTGTTTAAATAAATTGTGCATGTATTTACTTAAATGTAAAGCAATACTATTTATATCGAACACACAGTATCTTTTTTTTGATAATTTCATTTATGAATTTAAATAACAAGTGGGACGTGCTTTTAACACAAAAATGCGAATATTCATAAAAAATATTCAACATTTTATCTTCTATTTAAGAGTAATCAAAAAGAAAAAAAATGATCATAGTCGCACGGATGTTAAATGTCATATAATATAAGAATCGTTTTTACATCGAGACATTATCGCATTAATGCTTCACAAACTACTTTCGTGATTCTTTTCAGTTAAATTTCTTTTATGGCAGTCAATTCGTAGCCTATATATAATCATCTGCAATTGTCGGACTTGGAATGATCGCAATTGACCTCAATATAGTGTAATAATATTAGAGATTATTCGAACTTCTTTGCACATATGTCTCATTAAATCGTTCAGGATGAAAAGCGTTACATTCACGCCCTCTTATGCAATATCTATATAATCCAAAAAAAGAGTAAATTATTATTGAAAAAAGCGACAAAAGAAATAGAGAATTATATATAATATTATAAATAAATAAATATCTGTAATTAGCTCTAATTAAAAATACAAAATATGCTTGAAATTGAACATTTCAATGAATAATGATAAATTCTTTACTTTCAGAAAAGACATTCATTCTCTTTGAATTGAAATTACTTAAACAATTAGTAAAAAAATTTAAGGGTTCTCTTCTAATTAGTTGAGAGTTGAATTAAATTGTATAAGTCATAAATTATCATTGTTAATAAATTTTTTTGTACAATAATAATAAATTTGAATGAAGTTTTATAAACAAATCTTACAAATTACAAGTTAATTGTCTTTATTGACGTAAAATTGTAAAAATTGTAAAAATTGTGCAATCACTGGTCAATTCAATTAATATTATTTTTCAATAGATTATGCAAAAGATCCCTGAATTTTATCGACACTCTTATTTATTTATTTATTATTATTATTACTATTACTATTACTATTACTACTACTACTATTACTACTATTACTATTACTACTACTATTACTACTACTACTACTAGTTAATACTACTACTACTACTATTATTACTACTACTACTACTATTACTACTATTACTACTACTACTATTATTATTATTATTATTGTTATTGTTATTATTA